AGTGTTCCTTGGGTTACTTCCAGTGACCTTGGAAATGGGACAATTTATAATAATAGGATTAAGAAGATGTTCATCCTCTAAGTCTTGGGAGGCTGTGCAGGGCTGGCTGTCGGTCGCCCCTGCTCCCAAAACTGAAATAGAGAAGAACTGGTTAGAGCCCAGGACTCAGTGTGGCAGCGAGAGTCTCACGACATGCACTTACATGGACCTGCAGGCCACAGGCTGCTGTGCACCCCGGTGGTGTGCTGCTGTCTGCTGCTCAGAGGCTTCAAACCTGTACAGCAGGCCACTGTTCTGAACCCTACGAGCAGTTGTAACACAGCGGGAAGCGTTTGTGTATCTAAACACAGAAGAGGTGCAGTGAGGATGTGGTTTTATGATCTTAGCTCCCGCTGTTGTATATGTGTTCCGTTGGTGACTGCCTTATGCAGTGTATGACTAAATATTTTTTAAAAAAGAAAACTAAAACAAAAAAGAAGTCCCCTGCTGAGCACTCCTGTCTCCTGGCAGGAGCCTGGGCTCTCCCCTCTGCCCCAGGAGTTTCTGTGATTCCTGTGTCCCTCCCCCCATCGCCTACCCTCCACCTCCCACCCCACCCCGTTCCTTTAGCTGTTGAGGAGATGGTGCTCGGAATTCACAGACTTTGTTTCTCATCTTTGAGTTTATAATCCCTTTCACAGAAGTCACCATACCATGAAATGCAGTCACCTCCTTTTAAACCCGTTTTGACCTTTCTGGGTCACTCGAGATGTCTGATCTCTCTTCCCAGTCTCTCTGATCCCATCTCCTGCTTTAATGTAGCGACCCTCACTCCACCATCATGAGCGTCTTTCCTGCGACCCCACCTTTCTCCATTCTCCATGTGCTCCCTGATCAGCCCCTTCACTCTCAGCTGCGATGGTCTGTGTCAGCACATGGGACCTCTCCAGAGTTCTGCCTGCTTACTGGCCCATCAGGCATGCCAGGAGCCTCAGAATCAAAGTATCTTAGCCTGAACTTACTGTCTATTCCCTTGCCATTCAAATCCCCACTTTCACCCACTTGCTATGTTTTAGTAGTTAGCAGATCCCGAGCCAGAAACCAGGGAATCTAATTTTCTTCCTTGCCTAGCCAGGTTTTGGAATGACAGCTGCCCTGTCTGTGCTCACACATGCTGGCTTTGTTTCCACCATTCCCTTCATTTTACAGAAAAACTCCAAAGTTGGGCACCATCATTCCAGTTGGGCTTGGGGGAAATTTCATGCATGTAAATGTTCTGTCCTTATTAAAAGAGGGAGATAAATCATTTTAATTATTCCTCTGTGCTGGCAATTTTGTATTTCTGTGTCCATAGAAACCTCATTCCAGAGGCATTTCTGTATTTGAGACTTGAGTTTGTTTGTTAGATTTGAAACATATAACTTCACAGAACTTGTGGTCTGTTATTTTAGCACTCATATTTTGCTTAGTTTTCTATTTAATCACTTAAAATAGCATCTTCTGCAAAATTATTGTGGAATTACAGGCATGCCTCATTTATTGCCCTTCACTGATACTGTGTATTTTACACCCTGAATATTTGTCGTAACCTTATGGGGTCAGCAGTGTTTTCCCAACAGTATGTGGTCACTTTGTGTCTCTGTGTCTCATTTTGGTAATTCGCACAGTATTTCAGGCTTTTCTGTTATTTCTACTTTGGTGATCTGTGATCAGTGATCTCTGATGTTAATATTATAATTGTTTGTGGCAGCACAAACCATGACCGATGAGTCAGCAAGCTTAACTGATGAATGTCGTGTGTTCTGACTGATCCACTGACCTGCCATTCTCCCATCTCTCTTTCCTTGGGCCTCTCAATTTCTAAGACACAACAATATTGAAAGGAGGCCAATTAAAAACTGTGCAATAGCCTTGAGCATCCAAGTGAAAAGATTGCACATCTCTCATTTCTAATCAAAAGCTAGAAATTATTCTGCTTAGCGAGGAAGGGAAGTCAGAGCCGAGGCAGGCAGAAAGCTAATCCTCTTAAACCAGTCCACCAAGTTGTGAACTCGGAGGAAACATTTGTGAAGGAAATTCGAAATGTTACTCCAGTGAAAACAGGGATGATAAGGGAGAAAAGCAAAGCTTTACGGCTGATGTTGGGGAAGTGTTGATGGTCTAGAAGGAAGATGGGACCAGCCATACCATTTCCTTAAGCCAGACCCTAATCCAGAGCAAAGTCCTAAATTTCTTCAATTCTATAAAGGCTGAGCGAGGGGAAGAAGTTGCAGAAGAAAAGTTTGAAGCTAGTAGAGGTTGGTTCATGAGGCTTAAGGAAAGCAAACATCTCCATAACATGAAAGTGCAAGGCAAAGCAACAGACTATCCAGGTGCAGCTGATTTCATTGATGAAGACGGCCGCACTGAACAGCAGATTATCAGTGGGCATAAAATAGGCTTCTATGGTAAGAAGCCATCTAGGACTTTCATAGCTGAAGAGGAGAAATGGTGCAATTTTTGCAGATGACCTATGTACATCTTCCAGTATAAGTTAGAATTATCTCTAGGTGACTTTAGTACCTAATATTATGTAGATGCCATGTAAATAGTGATGATACTATATTTTTAAAATTCTGGGTTTTTTTTCAATTTTTTATTATGAATATTTTCTATTTGAGGTTGGTTGAATTTACAGATACAGACCTTCAGTGCCTGGCTTGGGAGGTTCAGAGGACAGTCTGACTCTCTTGTTAGGGGGTACTGCAGCTGTTGGCTTTATGTTAAAGCCAGTGCTCACTGACCATTCTGAAAATCCTAGAGCCTTTATGAATTATGTTAATTACTCTGCCTATGCTCTGTAAATGGAACAACAAAGCCTTTATGATAGCACATCTGTATAGCTTGGTTTATTGAAAATCTTATGCCCACTCTTGAGACCTACTGCTCAGTAAAGATTCTTTTCCAAATATTCCTGCTCATTGACAATACATCTGGTCTCCCAGGAGCTCTGAGGGAGATGTACAAGATTGATGTTTTCATGCCTGGTAGCACAGTGTTCATTCTGTAGCCCATGAATCAAGGAGCAATTGACTTTCAAGTCTCATTATTTAAGAGAAAAACTTAAGGCTGCAGTTGCCCCATAGGTAGTGATGGTTTCTCTGATGGATCTGAGCACAGTTAAATAAAAACCTGGAGAGATTTTATCATTCTAGATGCCATTAAGACCATTCATGAATCACGGGAGGAGACCAAAGTATCAACACTAACAGGAGGTTGGAGGAAGTTGATTCTGGCCCCATTGATGATTTTGGGGGGTTCACAACTTCAGTAGAGGCAGAAACTCTGCAAGTGGTGGAGATGGCAAGGCACCCAGAATCGGAAGTGAAGCCTGGGGCTGTGACTGAACTGTTGGGATCTCATGATAAAACTTGAAAAAAATCAGTTGCTTCTTATGGATGAGAAGAGAACATGTTTTTGTTTGTTTGGTTTTTTGTTGAGAAGTTTTGAGAAGAAATCCACTCTGGGTGAAGATGCTTCACAGCATCTTGAGGTTGAAATGGCAGCAGGGGTTTGAGAATGGCGCAGAAACGTAGTGATAAAGCAGCAGCTGTTACAGGGGATTGACTCCAATTTTGGAAGAAGTTTTACTAAAAGTAAAATGACATTAAATAGCATTCCATGCTACGGAGAAATCTCTCATGAGCAAAAGTGTCAATTGATGTGGCAAACTTGATTGTTATCTTACTTGAAGAAATTGCTACAGCTGTCCAGCCTTCAGCAACTTCCAGCCCTGATCAATCAGCAGACATCAGTATTGAGGCCAGACCCCCCCCCCCAACAAAAAAAGCCAACGTCTGAAAGCTGAGATGATTGTTTCCATTTTATTTTAGCAATAAAGTATTCTTAATTTTGGTATGTGTATAGGTTTTTGGACCTAACGCTACCACACACCCAGTGGACTGCTATACCGTGTACACGTAACTATTACATGTGCTGTGATCCAAACATTTATGACTCACTGTATTGTGACGTTTGCTTTACTGTGCTGGCCTAGAGCCGAGCCTGCCACATTTCTGAGGCCTGTACAAGTTGTTTCTCAGTATCCACGGGGCGTTGGTTCCAGGACCCCGTACTCCCCTACCCCTGTAGATACCAAAATCCAAGGATGCTTAAGTCTCTCAGATAAAATTGTGCAATATTTGCAGATGACCTATGTACATAACTTCCTGTATAAGTTAGAATTATCTCTGGGTATCTTTAGTATCTAATGTAGATGCCATATAAATAGCAACGATACTATATTTTTAAAATTCTGGCTTATTCTGAATATTTGAGGTTGGTTGAATTTACAGATACAGACCTCATGGATACAGAGGGCTGATTGTACCTTTCATATTACTTTATATTTCATGTATTAAATATAGAGAATCAAGTACCTATTAGATTAAAATAATTAAAATTTATTGTATGCTTATGCGACATTGTACATCTGTCATATCATTTAATTTAACTCACCCCATAACTTGATGTAGAATAGAGAAACTAAGAATCAGAGATGTTATCAGATTTCCCCAGATTACACTGTTGTGGCGACTGCTCCTTCCTGTGACTCCCTCTGAAATTCTTTATACATTGGTGTGAGTGTGACAGTAATCAGTCCAAGGCTTGATTTGTGGGCATCTCCTTTATTTTGGGAGTTGATTTCCACGTGGACTGTGTTCTATTTATCAACGGTCTCTGTGAGGGAAGATTTCACAGTACTTCAGTGCCATTGCCCAAATTCTCCATAGTAACGGCCGTGCAGATACAGGTCATGGGGAAAGGTGATTGTGCTAAGACTTAAGTGGAATTTCTGTTATGCGATTTTAATTGGTGCAATGTGATTTTAATGCAGCCCTCCAAAAATAGTTACCTATTCTTTGTTGAATGTGTTAACAATAATCTCTCTGCTTCTTTGAATTTTTGTTACCTTAAAGAGAGGTCTGTCACCTGGTAAGTGGTGTGGTCAGCAATTCACATCCTCTTTTTCTCTTCCTTAGTGCAATGAAACCTCATTCTTCTTTGAAGCTCGAAGTAAGACTGCTTGCAAGCATCTCTGGAAATGCAGTGTGGAGCATCACACATTTTTTAGGTATGCTAATGTGAAAGTTTCGTTCATTTAAAATGGCATTTATGGCTCGGCACCTGTGGCTCAAGTGGCTAAGGTGCCAGCCACATACACCTAAGGTGGCGGGTTCAAAACTAGCCTGGGCCCACCAAACAACAATGATGGCTGCAACTAAAAAAATAGCCAGGCGTTGTGGTGGGTGCCTGTAGTCCCAGCTACTTGGGAGGTGGAGGCAGGAGACTCACTTGAGCCCAGGAGATGGAGGTTGCTGTGAGTTGTGATGCCACAGCACTCTACCCAGGGGAACAGCTTGAGGCTCTGTCTCAAAAAAAAAAAAAAAAAAAAGAAAGAAAGAAAAGAAAATGGCATTTATTTTTATAACGAATCTGTTCTTTCTACAAATAGAAATTTAGAAGCGTTTCACTTTTATTAGCTTTTTTCAACTTCTAATTCTCTGGGTTGTGTCAATGCAAACACACACACACACACACACACACACACGTGGGAAATTATCTTGGGAATTTTGTTACTATGTTGATTGACTCTGTTCAGGTTTTCATGACAATCAATCATAGCAGATGTGGTAACTCCGATGCACAGTGCTCCTGGGAGGTGAAGTAAGTCGAAGATAGAGAAATAGACTCCCGCACTGTGGGGACATCTTTTTGTTTCATATCCTTATGTTGTAAAGATGAAATAAAATTTTAGCAGACAATATATTAAGCTTTCCTGTTTTCAAAAATTCATATAAGATTGAATTCTTCCCCTTATTCCTATTTGATTTGCATGAAACAATTTCCCTGAAAAGCATGAATTGGAGAATTATTCCTGTGAAATGACCAATGTCCTTGGTATAGTTTGTGTTGGGGTTATAAGGGGAAGGATTGGCCCAGAAAGTCTTATGTTGCCTCCAGGTCAGTGGGGCTGTGCTGAGGAGCTCCCCGTGATGGCATCAGTTTAAAGTATTGTGTGGCAAGTACTGGAGTGTGAGGTATTAGTAAGAGTGAGTTACCACATCTGATATGACTAACTGTCATGAAAACCTGGACAGGTGTACATCAACATGTTGACAAAATTCCCAAAATAATTTAAGCAGAGAAGTAAAATGATTGCCCACTATAGCTCCCGAGGGCAGTGATCTATACAACAGTCTTCAAAAGTATGAGTATTGGATATTGTATACATATGAAGTCCTAGTGTCTCCTTATGTTTCAAACATTAGCATAAATTAATCATTCCAGTGGAATAAATAAAATATTTGGGCTAGCTCTGTTAAACACTGTTGCAGTATTGTGAGTCTTCATTTTCTCTTCTTTTCAAAATTAATTAGAATGCCAGAAAATGAATCAAATTCATTGTCAAGAAAGCTCAGCAAGTTTGGATCCATAAGTTATAAGCACCGGTACAGGTAATTGGCATTTTTTTCTCAGAGTGTGTGATTATAAATAATTCCTTTGTCCACATATATGCATAATATAATTTGTGATTTAATTTTTTTTCTGATAGTGTCAATGTTTTTTTGTAATTGTAACAGTTTATTAAAACTTTTTGACAAAAATTATTTTCCAGATTTATTTATATTCCACATCTGCATTAGCTGTATTAAGTGTGTGCTTTTGGAATGTGGTTGGGCTTATTATCTTTAGAAATTCATTTTGATATAATTATCACTTGTTTCTAGTTAGGTTCTGTGAATATGAAACAATGTAGATAATCTGAATAGCACCTGTGTCTTTAGGACATTCAGTTGATCCCCTATCTTGACACAATGTATATGTTACACTGTCCATGGAACTGCATTTTTCTGCATACTTCAGCTGCATGTAGTAATGCAACTTTATTGAGCAGTTACTAAGTCATGTACTGTGCTAAATGTTTTCCATTTATTGCTTTCTTTAATTATCACAGTCTTTCTGTAATATGCCAGTTAAAATTTGAGGAAACTGAGTCTCAGAGAGGATAAGTCACTTCTCAAAGTTACCCAGCAGGGTAGCAGTGAAGTGGGATCTGCACCCTGGTGGTCTAACCCCAGAGTTCACACTTTTAACCAGTAGGGACACTGTTTGGCCATGGCAGAAAAAGTCTGATCATCATGGTGCCAGGTCAGTGCTTGGGTCGTTTTTTTAAGACCAGCACTAAAAATGGAAGTGCTGTCTTGTGTGGCAACTTGTATGGACGTGGAGACCATTACCCTAAATGAAGTTTCTCAGGAGTGGAAACAACCACTGGAGTTTCTCAGGAGTGGAGAACCACATCTTCTCACTGATAAGGAGGAGCTAAATGGGAGGTGTACATGGGCATAAAGAAGGATGTAGGGCATTGGAAACCAGGAGGGGAGGGATAAAAACTTTCCAGTTGAGTACAATGAACACTGAATGCCCTGACTTCAGCATCGTGTCGGGCACCCACATAACACAAACATTTGTACCCCTTAGTATGTTTTGACATTTATATATTTTTTATTGTTTGGGATTCATTGAGGGAATAAAGAATTAGGTTACACTGATTGCCATTGTTAGGTAAAGTCCCCCTTTATTTTGAAATTTTCTTTTATTGATATAAAAGAAATAAATATAAAGAAATAAATTGAAATAAATATAAAGAAATAAATTGAAATAAAAGAATTGATATTTTGAAATTAAAAAAAATTAAAAATGGGAAGGAATGATTTTGGAAAAATCATTTGATTCATTTCACTTTATTCTGTTCAGTGGAAAGCCTGTGATGAGTGAGGTATGTTACTAGATGCCCAGGGATACAAAGATCCAGGCCTAAACGCTTATGCCTTCCCAGGGCTATGGGGTTGCTCAGGCAGTGAGGCGGGTCCCAGGCCTTGTAGAGCCCAGGCAGGTGTAGAATTGCCACCTAGGGTGGGACAGTCTCCCGTTAGTTCCACTGGAGACATACTGATGACATACTTCCTTAGGAGATGTGAAAATACAGTCAAGGCAAGCTTTTGCAAGGTGGGAGTGCCGTATACCAGATTTTTATTCTTCTCTTTTATAACCCGATTTTTGGGTCTTAAATTTGAGACCAAAGATAATCCAGAAAGGATAGATTAATATCAAATATTTAATGCCTTCATCCTCACATATTATTCACTTGGATGTTCACCCATCTGATGACTAAAGAGAAAACTTAGCTGTCAGTGTGTTACAGACATCGTTGTTATTTGCAGGAAGGTATCCATTGTTAGCTAAGTATTTACCTTCAGATTTTTAAGGTTTTCCCATAGACTACAATTATGAGGAATTTAAGGAAAAGTTATTGAGTTTTATATTGAGAAAAACAGGTAATGGTGTTCGAACTGTTCTTCTGTTTGTGGCATAAAACATTGCCAGGTTACAGAGAGGATGTATTAATCTATTTCCTCGTCACTGAAATGGTGCCAGTGAAAAGGCATCTATTTTAACATTCGTACTATTAAAATTGTAATTATTCTGTTTAGCATATGCTATAGTTGGCTTCCACAAATTTAACCATACCTGATTTCTCAAATTTAATGAAATGCAAATATTGTGGCTACTGGGAATTGTTATTAGAAAGCTATTGGATTTTGCATATTAAATATCATTTCTTCCAAGAAAGTAATTAAAGGTAACCTTTGCAGAATTGGAGGCTCTGATAAGTCTGCTCTAATTTCTTGGCTGATGTTAACTGCCTACTAAGTCTTAATGATTCCTAATTCTATGTGTCTGTGTTGAGGAAGTATTAAAATTACATCACCGTTGGACGAAAGACAATCCCTGCCAGAGCTTAGGCAGGGAAGGGTCTCTGATTACTGGGTGGTCATTAACACACACTGTGTTTTATTATCAGGAGAGGGCAAACAATTAGCCTTTAGTCAGCATCATATGCCTATCCCTGTCTTGAGACTCAGGAGACATCCTGGAATGAAAGCAGAGCTGTACACACACAGCCCCCTCTGTCCTCCTGCAGGCTTTTAGGGCATGGGGTATAAAGTGTGCATTTGTTTACGTGGGGTGTGTCTTTATTTTTGTGCATGTGTGTGTAATGATGGAGGAAGACAGAGTTCTAGTCTTAACTCTCTCCTGCAGTTTAGGGTCTTGAATTTGGCACCAAAGATAATCAATAAATGATAGAGTAATATCAAATATCGAATTCTTGCAAGGTGCCAAAGAGATTCCTACACCTTTTGAAATGATTACTGAAGAAGGACAATCCAGTGATACAGGACAATCCAGATTCAAAATTAAGTTTGTGAGCACAGGCTGCGTGGAAGTTATTATAGTTCTTGTGTTATTGTCAGGGACCAATTATTTGAAAGACAAATTTAATCTTTGATTGATTTAATATTATAGATTGAGATGTTCTTCTTTGAACCCCTTAAAAATTAACTTTGTCTCTACCTGTTAAGTTTGTGGGAGACCCATGATTTTTAACTAATGAATGAATTGTAATAGGGGTATTCAACCTGTGGCCCATGGGCCACATGCTGATTATTCTAGGACTGTTTTGCTTATATGTGGTGTTGGATATTGTGAAACGTCTGCCTGGGCAGTTTCTCATTCTTGTCAGTGTTGGTGTTGGTGCATTTAATGTGTGGCCCAAGGCAACTCTTATTCTTCTGAAGTGTGGCAGGAAAACAAAGATTTGACACCCCTGGTATAGAGTTTATATACCAGAAATGATAAATAGACCCTAGAATCCCCCTGGGAACCAAGGTGTCCTGTTTTATAGGACTTAAGGCTTAGGAGCTGCCATGGGGTTTCAAATTTCATGGAGCATGGAGGTGAGACTCCTTGTTAGGAGGTCCTCCCGAGGGTCAGGTGCTCTCCTGTGCACTGCTTTACTCTACACAGTGACCCAGCAAAGGGGGTATCATGCCCCTATTTCTGTTGCTGAGAAATTCCAGAAGTAAAGTAATTGAACTAAGGATCTTTACTCAGTAAGGGGCAAAGCTGGGATTTGAACCTGGGTGTCTGTGGTCTTGTTCTTTTCCCTCTTCCTCACTTTGAGGCTGGGAAGTAGGTGACCATGGAAATGAAGCTCCGTCCTCTCACAGCAGAGAGCCACCAGACACGAGTAGCTTACAGTGTAAATCTTTACGCTTGTCAGCCATTTTCTGCTACAAGGAAATAGACATTTTCACAGAAGCATGTAAAAGATGGGTCTTTATAAATCATTTAATTTCTTTTGGGGAGACATTCACTGATATTCTGTAAGTATGAATAGCATTTGGGGCCCTTAAAAGGCTGTTTTCCCTTCCATAGAAGGCTCTGCTTGTGGTGATCAAACTAGACATATAGAAATGATATTTTCCTGCTTGAAGGCAGGGGTACTCACTGGCTCAAATTCAGCAATTGTGGAGTAAATTTTTTAGTAAGATGAGTGTTCAGTGAAATCCAGCAAATAAAATTACATGATTCCTTGGGAAAATTTCTGATAAGCCCCGTTCCGGGGAAGCTTGCCCTCTTGAATCCTCCTGGAATCTTTGGAGACGTGGTACTTGGTGTGGGTTCTAGGCCTGCCTTCAGTCTTCCTGGTTTGTAGTCTGGCACAGGTGAGGTGGGCATGGTAGACCACTGACTGCCATGGTGAGGTTCAGAATGAGGTCACCTGAGGGGTCCTGTGGGGGGCTGCTGTGCACCTTGCCATGTAAGCCACCGAGACAGTCATGTGAAATCATTGCCCTTGTATGATTTAGCTCAATATAATCTCTTTATCATTTAGCCACATAGCCCAAAGACTACCAACGACCTTGATTTGTAGCCATCATTCTATTTACATCTAAATCTAACTTCTCCTTTAATAAACTCTTCCTGTTTCTTCCTATAAAAGGTCTCCTATCCTACATAAACCCCCTGCTAGAGTACACTACTACTTTAATATTTCAATAAGAATCAATGGAGAACCCTGTACACTCTCGGTCCACCAGTCTGTGTTTTTCTTCTCTCTGTACTCTGCAGATGTTCTGAATGAGCTGTTTAATTTTGTGGCTGTGTGGTTTTACCTTTTGGCTAATCAAAATGTTGCTTTTTCCAGTGGCAGAACAGCTTTGCAAATGAGCCGAGATCTTTCTATTCAGCTTCCCCGGCCTGATCAGAATGTGGCAAGAAGTCGAAGCAAGACTTACCCTAAGAGAGTAGCACAAACACAGCCAGCTGGTGAGTCACGGCGCCCCCAACCCATCCAGTGGCCTGTGGTTTTCTCTTAGGGGGGTGGTGTGAGTCGTGCTCAGGTGGTGACTATAACCATGCAGTTTTTATTGTTAATACTAGAAATTTTAATTTGACCTAGGAAACATTCAAGCAGTCAATAATTATTAAGTAGACAAGTAGTCAGATTGAATTACCATGACCTGCTTAATGCCTGGACTTTCTTTTCGAAGGGGTTTTATTTGAAATAATGTCTCAACGGAGTAGTTTCTTAGTTCAGTGTATCTGAAACGAATTCTTTTTTTTTTTTGCAGTTTTTGGCCAGGGCTGGGGCTGCGTTTGAACCCACCACCTCTGGCATATGGGACCAGTGCCCTACCCTTTTGAGCCACAGGCGCCGCCCCTCTGAAACGAATTCTTAACAAAAGTCTTAAAAAAGCACTATAGACATAACTTGTATACAAACCAATTGGTTTTTGGTTATTGTTGATCTTTTATCATGAAATATAATATAAGAAGTGCAGAAGATACACATATGAGCAGACACACACATACACCCCTACCTCGCACAGGAGGCTCAGTGTAGCCGGCACCCCCAGACGTCACTCATGGGTCTGCCAGTGGTCACATTCTCACCATCTCATTTCCCCAGTCAGAAGAAACTACAGTCTGCCTTTGTGATAATAATTTTTTTCACTATAATTTTACTACTTATGGAACACTCCTTGACCAAATTTATTTTGCCTATTTTAACACTTTATGAATGAATCCCGGTATGTGTGCTTTTATGTCTGGATTTTCCTGTTGATTAGGTCTAGCGCATACTAAAGTGAATTCATTTTTCTCACCAAGTATTCTGGTATTTGGCAATTTCCCCATTCTACTGTTGATGCACATTTGGGTTGTTCTGACTTTTTGTTTTGAGTGTAGGCTGTTTCCTTACTAAAGCCACCCAATCAGTTTCAATCCACGTTCAGTGCTCAAAGCTCACACAATTCCACGGTGAAAGAACGCTACTGACTTTGGTTTGTGGCTTTCGTACCGATTGCCCTTATCTAACGCCCTACAGAGCCTTTTCACATTTATTATCTCCTTTGAGCCTCTCAATAACTGTGAGGAGGGACAAGGAAAAGGTCATGTTCCCACTTCAGAGGAGGAAGGTGTGATTCCAGTGGTTATGCAGAGGGGAGGCTGGGACAGGAGCCCAGGTCTCCTGGTTTGTTCTGCCATGTTGTGTAAAGTGAATGGGATTTTTAATAATAATAATTAATACCCAAGCATCATGTGCACATTGACACAGCATTGTGACATCCATCACTTCATGCCAAGCCTCTGAAGAAGGTGGGTGTGATGCTGCCACCTCACCTCCTGCTCCTAAAGTCAAACCTGACCATATGTTCCCTCCTCTCATGGGCTAGGAGGGAGTTGAATTCTTTCTTACGGTTCTGCAGTGGCAAAAATAAAACATTTGGCTCTGCATTTGATTATCTTGACATACATTATTATCTTTACCCACATTTGGCTGATGGGGAAACTTAGGTTTAAAGGGACAGTCTGGCCAAGTTCACTGTGGAGCAAGTGCACTGAGCACTGGTTTCCAGCTTGTATGAGCATAGGGAGTGAGCATACACTTGGGTGAGGCAGGTTTTTACTTACAGATAGGCAGTAAGGGCCGGCAGAAGCCTGGGGTCCATTGTGAGCTGGTCCCGCAAGCTGCCTGGGCAGATGGGGCCTTGGTGGCATGTGGCTGTGGGCACCTCAGCCGAGACCCAGAGGCAGCCTGCTCTGGCCTGTGCACCTCAGGCATTGAGGCTCATGGGGCTGAAGCTTTGAGAGGTGTCCTGATTTCAGGGGGAGAGGAATGAAGTTCACGGTGTTCTGAGTGGTTCTCCCTAACTCAGGATGTCACGTTTTTCACAGAAAGGACAGGAATAAGGCCTGAGCTGTTTTGGGCAGTTCCTCTCTATTTCAGGATGTTGGATTCTCAGGACATTCTACGATTATTCTTGAGAACTACAAACAAGAAAGGTGGGAGAACTGGGTCAGTCCAAGGCCACCTGGAGAACCATCTGATGATGATATAAAGTGTGTGGCCTACGACAAATATTCCTGTCCTCTAATGCCCCGTCCTTAGGTTACTATTTTGTATTTGTCTTTATACATGCAGCCTCAAATCCCATTTGGATCAGCCACAGTGTGGTCATAATTAATAAGCAAACTTTGAGATCCTATGCTATTGCCAAAGCACCAGGCCTCATAAAATTATTCTGAGACCAGCAGAGAATATCAGAAGCCTTCCCTGCTTCAAATCAACATTGCCTCCCACTTGGGCTGCAGGAATTGCACGTGCTTTTTATATAAACTCATGCAGGACTTTTCTGCTCCTCCTGTGTTTTTATGAAAATTTCTGCAAATAATCTGCCTCTCTTAATACTTTTTTCTTTTTTGCTCTCCTTGGAAACATAAATAGTGGAAGCTCATTAATTTAGGGACAAGTTGTTTTTTTTTTTTGTATTTGTCACTCTCTTGGTGTCTGCAGATATAGACAAATGCAGCTTTCATAAAACAAATCTGGACTGAGCAGTCATGTCCATCCCAGCCCATGTCTGAGGCCAGCCTCTCAGTTCTTCTCTGTTGTGCCCTAGAGGAGGGGGAAAGAGCCCTCTGCAGCATCGCTGTTGTGTTTGTGTATTAAACACAAACATAGACACACAGGTGCAGCAGTTCACACCTGAAATGCTAGCACTTTGGGGGGCTGAGGCAGGAAAATTGGTTCCAGGAGTTTGAGACCAACCTGAGTAACAATCAGACACCATCTCTACAAATAATAGAAAAACTAGCCAGGAATTGTGGTGGGTGCTGGGTAGTCTCAGCTACTTAGGAAGCTGAGGTAGGAAGTTTGCTCAAGCTCCAGGAGTTTGAGGTTCCAGTGAGCTATGATGATGCCAGTGCACTCTAGCCCAGGTGACAGAATGAGACTGTTTCAAAATAAAAGACAGTCTTTCAGTAGGGGCTGACTGATGGTATGGATGGGCCAGGTGGCTAATGCCCAGCCCAGGCTTCACTTGAGGACAACCTCCTAGCATCTGGTGGATCCTTAAAAATTGTGACATGTGTTATGCTTTTATTACTGTACAAATACATGATTGCTACAAAAGTTAGAAAACGTATAGGTTTGGAATGGGTTGCTTAAAAAAAACAAAAAAAATTAGAATATTCTTGTCAAAAAAAGAAATAGAAAAACTTTTTTATATTCAATTCCATTCTGCTAGTATTAGTACTGTATTACATAGCCTTTTAGTCATTTATATATCTTTTCTGTGCAGATGGTGTGATAATGTTTTTCAGCCTACTTTTTTTAGTTACTTATATGTCATGGGTATGTTCTATGCACTTCATATGTCTTTAAATGTACTCACATAGCACCATTTTAATGTCTGTATGATTTTCTGCTGTATAAATAGATGTGGCATAATTTATTCAACCAATCTTCAATTCTTGAATATGTAAGATGGTTCAGAATTTGAAAACCATAAATAAAATAAAACTAAATATCTTTTTAGGGATATGTAGTATCTTTAAGCATTCATGACTATTTAGTATATATTTTAAACAATGGTGTACAGCCATCATTTTCATTCTAGAAAGAGAATTAAACAATGCTGGTTTAAAATCTAAAACCACAGAGAGCACTTACGGTTTGATTTTGAATGCTTTTAGCCTGACTTTTCATTCCTGGGCTCCACAAACATTGCAAGGTGCCCTGGGACCCAGAGATGACCCTCCCCTTGGCAGTGTGATTGTCCTGGGTAGGAGGACCATCTAGCACATGCCAGTGAGCCAGTGTTACAGTTGCTGTCTGGCATATATGAAGGTTGTTGTAGGGGAGAGATTAAATTTATTTCCCTTTAAAAAATGTTACATATTTTTCTTCCTCTAATTCAGATACCCTCTGCTTTGAGTCTCAGCTGAACTGGCTGGTAGGAAGCCTGTCTGAGCCACTGTGAACTAAGGCTGTGGTCAGCTTCCACCTCAGAGCAGGATATTGAAGAGGGCCCTGTGGTCCCCAGCTGCACCTGTCACTTCTGTGTTCTCTGTCAGCATGCTTCTGGTCCTCGCCCTCCAGCCTCGATGGTGGTGGGGGTATAGTTTGGCATGAAGCAGGCCTAGGGCCCGTGTAAGGTGGGTGGGCTCTGTGATGAGGCCATGGGGACCTCTTGGGCCTCAAGGTCCAGCCTGCTTTGGGAGACTGTACCACTAGGCCTGCCCTGTCCTTCCACCTTCTATTCGGCAAAAATGTACTTACAGTTTAGATAGAAGATAGATTTTTTTTTTTTTTGATGGAGCCTCAAGCTATCCCCCTGGGTGAGTGCCATGGCATCACAGCTCACAGCAACCTCCAACTCCTGGGCTCAAGCGAGTCTCCTGCCTCAGCTTCCCAAGTAGCTGGGAACACAGGCGCCTGCCAGAATGCCCGGCTATTTTTTGGTTGCAGCCATCATTGTTGTTTGGCGGGCCCGGGCTGGAGATTCGAACCTGCCACCTTTGGTGTATGTGGCTGGCGCCTTAGCCGCTTGAGCCACAGGTGCCGAGCCAGAAGATAGATTTTTTAAAAAACCTTCTGATAAGGCCAGCTGTTAATCTTCATAGTCTGAATCTTGTTGGTATTCTCTGTAAAATAAAATTTTTGGATGGGCAGTGCCTGTGGCTCAAAGGAGTAGGGCGCCGGCTCTATATGCTGGAGGTGGTGGATTCAAACCTAGCCTGGCCAAAAAAAAAAACTACAAAAAAAAAAAAAATTAGGACTATAGTTTTTGGAATTACCAGCACAAGCTCTCACTTCTCATTTAACATTTGTATATAATAAAAAACAAGTTGCTGTAGAAATGAGATTGTTGCTCTTTGCTGATTTGGGACATTCGTTTGTAGTATGTGACAGTTTAGAAGAAGCTCTTTTCTTTCCTAAGTTCCTCAGACTAATGGACTATTCCCCTTAAGCTGCATCTCCA